GGGCTTGATGTTCAAACAAATGTGATAGTTAAGGTTGTGTGTTAATTTGGCTGGGCCATGATTCTGAGTGTTTAAGTGGTTGTGGTGTGGTCATTCCCATGACAAGATTTGATGTAAGGTATGGTAGTCACTTTCGTGGTGGGATATGCTTTGAGTAGCCAATCAGTTGAAAGGAGATTCCTTAGGGGGTATGGCCTGCTTCATGGACATTCTGGGAAAATTCAGGGAGTTTTCTGTTGGATCTGGATCCTGTAGTACTGCCTGCCCATCGTGGGGTCATCGGCCCCTACAGCTGTGGGAGTCAGGAAAAGCCTCCAGCCTGACATCTGGCCCATGAATTTGAGACCTGCCAACCATCTGACACTTTGCCTGCTAATCTTGGATTCATCATCTGCTGAAGTCAGCAGTCTACTATACCACCTGCTAATCTCGGGCTCGTCAGCACCTGTGTGAGTCGGGAAAAGCCTCTAGCTTGATGTCTGATCCAGGAACTTGGAACTTGTAAGCCTCTATAACTGTGTGAGCCATTTTCCTGAGACAAATATCTATCTGTCTTGTCTGTCTAGCACTTCCATCACCTCTCTCCCTCTCTCTCTCTCTGTGTATGCTTTACTGGTTTTGTTTCTCTAGAGAATTTAGCCTAAGACAACAAGTAATTGTTTAAATTACATAAATGAAATAATTTTATCTTCAGTACATAAAAGTTGAGAAACAAAATCTGGCTTTGTAAATACTAGCCAAGTGACCTTTACAATTTATTTAACTTCTCAGTGTTGCATTTTCATCTATAAATGGGAATAGTAATAGTGCTACCTCCATGGGTAGCTGCATTAAATGAATTAATAAATGTAAGAAAAAAAAAAAAAAGACCTGTTCCTTTTGGGCTTAACATAGGAAGTGCTCAGTAAATGACAGATGTCATTGTTATCATAGTTATTACTATTATAATTGTTATTGTATTACAGATATTCTAGGTTACTGCTCTGGTTTTTCCTAACTTGGTAACTAAAACCTTCAATGAATGGAATCTAAGTACCTGGAATTCCAAAATATCTTTTATTAATACTCTCCCCCTCCCCCTTAATTAGGGAGAGAACAACAAATTTGAAAATTAGCACTGGAGCTCCGGTGGCACAGTGCCTAAGGCATTTGACCACTAACCAGAAGGTCCGTGGTTCAAACCCACCAGCAGCTCTGTGAAAGGAAGAGTGGACAATCTACTTCTGTAAAGATTAACTGCTTTGGAAACCTCAGATTTACTGAGTTGGAATCAGTTCAATGGCAGTCGGTTTGGCTTTTTTTGGATTCCAGGCATTTAGTTAAAGTATCTTCAGGGACAGCCTGGGGATAAGCACATATTCATTTCCATTGTTTTCATATAATGGTCACTAGGATAAAGAAAGGTGATGCTCTCAATTGAGTGGGAATCACCTTCCCCCCCTTGCTCAACAGAGCATTATTTAACCTCTCTGGGCCTCAGCATGTGGATCTGTAAAGTGGAATAATAATAAGCACATACCTTATGGGGTTATTACAAAACCAAAGTCACTGTTCGCCCAGTCAAGTCTGACTCACAGCAACCCCACTGGGTTTCTGAGGCAGTAAATCTTTACCAAAGTAGACTGCCCCATCGTTCTTCCACAGAGAGGCTGGTGGGTTTGAACCGCCAACCTTCTGGTTAGCATCCCAATGGCTTAGGCGCTACACCACCAGAGCTCAATGTGGATTGTTAAGAGGATTCAAATGAGATATACATGAATTGGACAATGTCTGACTCTTGACCAATATTTTATAAAGACTTTTTCCAAGGTTTAAAATAAACTGAAAGGATTTTCCTACTAATCCTCAGTTTACACAAATATTCCATTTTGCCAGACTATGCAATGTTCCTGGTATTTTGGTAAATTAAACCTGCTGGATTAAGTACTGGAGCACAAAAGAATCTGCCCTACTGCTGATGCTCCTCATTCCTCATTTCTTTCTTTTCCAACTTTTTGTTTTAATGCTCGTTAGGTATGGCACAGTGGTTAAGTGCTCAGCTACTAGTTAAAAGGTCAGTGTTTGAACCCACCAACCACTCTGTGGGAAAAAGTTGAGGCAGTCTATGTCTGTAAAGATTACAGCTTGGGAAACCCTATGGAACGGTTCTACTCTGTCCTACATGGTCACCAAGAGTTCAAATTGATTCAATGGCACACAACAGCAACAAGGTATCTGTAATTTGCATTTGTGACTATCTCATTTAGTTTTAGAAGTAGCTAAGCATAAATGATGAAAGATTTAAGACCTAAATCTGACTCCAGCAAGTATTTTCTTGTTTTGTTTTTAAGTGGACACAGTTACTCATGGTGGGGCACGCCCTCTGCATTCTCCCACAGAACTTGAAAACCCCTCCCACTCCAAACCAAAAGCCAAACTCACTGCCGTCAAGTCGCATCCGACTCACAGTGATACCTCCTTGGGTTTCCGAGGCAATATCACTACCGAAGTAGATTTCCCAACCTTCCTTCCAAGAAATGGCTGGTGGGTTTGAACCGCCAGCGTTCTGGTTAGCAGTCAGATGCCTTAGGCACTATGCCACCAGAGCTCCCACTCCAAGCCACATACATATAACTTCAGCACAAACGAAAAGTGACCATAATGATAGCCTTCTTGTGGGGTGCAATTCAAGTGTCAAATACGGTCAAAGAGTTGATGAAAAAATATACCTAATAAAGGTAACAAGCCAATGTTTCTTACTTACCACCTTACCCTCAAATGTCCATTTCTGTTATGGTCTGAATGGACAACTACTTCAGTAGCTGTTTTCACTTTGAAATATGATTAAGAATTGTATTTTTTTTTTTTTACTATATTAAAAAACCCACTGCCATTGAGTTGATTCTGACTCATAGCAACACTACAGAACTGAGCATAACTGCCCCGTAGGGTTTCCAAGGCTATAAATCTTTTGGGAAACAGCTTGCCACCCCGACCCTTTGGTTAGCAGCTGAATGATTTAACCACTACTCCACTAGAGCTCTTCTTTCTTACTATGTAGTATTGATTAAAACCTGCTTTATGCTTTATAGGTCTGTGAAAGAACAGGCTCTGCAACAAAAGGCCTAAGAGCGTAATATGTGTAGACCAAAACCAAACCAAACTCACTGCCGTTGAGTCAGATCTGACTCGTAGTGACCCCTCCTTGGGTTTCTGAGGCAGTATCACTACGGAAATAGATTGCCCAATCTTCCTTCTGAGGAGTGAGTGGTTGGTGGGTTTGAACTGCCAGTCTTCTGACTAGTTAGCAGTCAAATGCCTTAGGTACTACACCACCAGAGTTCCCATATGTATCAGAGGGTATCCTAAAAACCAATGAATCAAGAACCAGAAGCCAAAAGCGCCCTAGGGTGGAGAGGTATTCAGGATTATGGGCCAATGGTCCAATTCTTCCAGACCAATAGTCACAGGTACTATGAAAATCCTGTGCCCCAAGGATTAATGGGTCCAGGGACATGCCTGTGATTTGGGATATAGCTGGGAACCTTTTCTGTCTTAAAGCTTCCCCAAGGAAGTTTGTTTTAGAACTATGCCAAAGAGTATAAGAAAAAATTAGCTTGAATAGTGTTGGAGTACCTATAAATCAAAAAGGACTGAGGGTCTTTCAACCTGATTGTTTTCTAAAACTACTTCTTCCTCCCAAGTGGCTCTGAACCTATTTCCTATATTTCCAGACCCTAGAGGCCCCAGGTGGGCCCTCCAACAGGTGTACAGGTCTCCCAGTGACAATCCTCCTCTAAATCTGAAGACTGACACAGTGTGAGATACCCTAATACTGCCCTGAGAGCTGATGTGTGTGTGGCAGGGAGGGTACACAACCTTCTTTCCAAGGTTTAGGGCACGTTCACTGCTGTGGGGGATGAATGTGGCAGCTCCTAGTGATGAAGGCACATGAGAGGCACCTAGGGCTAGAACACTGATTGTAAACAACTGAACTTGAAAAACATGAGAAAGCAGTAGACATTTTCTCTTGGAAACTACATACAGATAATAGTTTTTAGCTCTGCTCCTTTTTGGATACACTTTTGGTCTATGTCAGTGTTCCACAAAGGATGGTCTACAGACTAGTGCAGGTCCCTTAACTCTTTGTTATTGGTCTACAATGAGATAAGGAATCAGAAGGTAAACATCACAGACTGGTAGGTTTGTGAACCAACTACGTTGAATACTACTAGTCTATTCCTCTCTAGCTGACATAAAGGAACACTTGCCTCCTGAACTGTTTCACTAAACCAATTTCATAAAACCAGAGGATGTTACCAGCACCTGTTCATGATCCACCGGGAAGAGAGAGACAGATCTTGCATATAACATTCTACTTCTGCCAGCGCACAACAGACATTACATCGAATTTATTAATTCTACAAAATATATATATGTATGTGTGTATAACGTGTATGTATATATACGTGTATACACAAACACATACACATATATGTGTGTGTGTGTATATATAGATATATAAACAGTTGCAATCAAGGTGATTCTGATGCGTGGTAACCCCATGTGTGTCAGTGTAGAACTGTGACCCACAGGGTTTTCAATGGTGATTCTTCAGAACGATTACCAGTAGATCACCAGCTCTTTCTTCTAAGGTGCCTCTGTGTGGACTTGAACCTGTAGGTTAGCAGTTAACCATCTGTGCCACCCAGGGATTCATATAGGATATACACCCTTACTGGATATATGTTGTTGTTGTTATGTGCCATCAAGTTGGACCCCACTCATAGCCACCCCTCCTGGGGTTTCCGAGGCAGTATCAGTATGGAAGTGGATTGCCCCATCTTCCTTCCGAGGAGTGGCTGGTGGGTTTGAACTGCTAGCCTTCTGGTTAGCAGTCAAGTGCCTGAGGCATTATGCTACCAGCGCTCCCTACTGGATATATACCACTCAAAAAAGGAAGTGATTTCCTTCTCCTAAAACATTCTCACTAAGATATTAAACGATGTATCTCTACTCACATGTCTTCAACCGTGATGTCTTTCAGGATCTGGCAGTAATCCACATTCCAGACCGCCTGGTCATCCCACACTTTGGAGGCCAGCAGGATGGCCCCGAGTACAATTCTCTTCCAGTTTGCTGGACAGATATCTATCTCTGCATACGTCAAAAGTCTTTCAAGGTATACCTGGGAAGACACAGAAATACCAGAGCTAGATGATGAGAGTTCCGTTCCCAACAAACCAGCATCCATAAAAACGCTCTAGAATTGTGTAAGTTCTTGTCACCAGTCTTTAAACAGGGATTTACTAGCTAATCACATGTAACTTTAAAAGGCCAAAGGGATCACTGAACCTGGTGCAAAATGGGTAAAGATGAACTCATAGTGTTGATGTAGCCAAATCTTAAAGAGCCCAAAACCAAGCCAAACCAAACTCACTGTCATTGAGTCCAGCCTGACTCACAGCGACCCTCATTGGGTTTCCAAGGTGGTAAATCTTTACGGAAGGAGATTGCCCCATCTTCCTTCTGTGGAGGAGCTGGTGGTTTTAACTGCCAACCTTCTGGGATTAGGAGTCAAACGCCTTAGGCACTGCACCACCAGAGCTCCTTAAAAGACTTCAAGGCAGGAACAAATTCTAGAAACCATAGGTTAATTTCTTACTCTATCATTACTGATATGCTCAACAAACAACAAAGATAATAAAGAATGTGAAGGGGATAAACCTACTTGTTTTGTCTGTTTCTATGTATTTCTTTTTTCAATAAAGTTTTGTATTTTGAGCTAACTGTTGATTTACATGCAGTTGCTGATTATCCTATTATAAACAGTTAAACTAGTAAGTTCAGCTGAAGTTCAAAAATAGGACCAAGTATCAATTTTCTGCAGTTGGTATAATTTAATTTGAAGATAAGCATTCAAAAATATCAAAGGCCATTACTTAAGTTGAACCACAAGGTAAGAATACCTTTTTAAGTTTTCCTTAGTAAAACTCTGTTTATTCATTCTTTTATAATTGTTTGAATCATGGAGTTATTATTTCTACAATTTTAATCAAATGCACTTATATAGTGGAATTACTGTAATAGAAAAAAAAGTTAAATGGACATCACCCATGTTTTTTAAGAAGGTGCTTTCTAAAACACAATCTATAGTGTTAGAATTATTCAGTTTGTGGATAAAGTCTTAAATATTACAAATGCACAAAAAGCATGCATTGAGGAAAAATGTTAAATATACAAATGAAATACTAATTGTTTTCTATTAAATAATGTTAATGTTCATAAATGGATGGGAAGGATTTAAGAGAAAGAAAAAAAAAAAAAAAGGAAGAATTTATACCTATTACCTCATGAGAAGAGGCCTGGGGAGGAGGCCAAACTTGAGGGAATTTTTGAGAAAGAGGATAATTAAAAGATCTACTGGGAAAGGTTTGTGATGCAACATGAATTTATAAGGAGTATGGGAGCTCTGGTGGCACACTGCCTAAGGCATGTGGCTACTAACTAGAAGGTTGGTGGTTCAAGCCCACCAGCCACTCCTCAGAAGGAAGATGGGGGACTCTATTCCTGTAAAGATTTACCACCTTGGAAACCCAATGTGGGGTTTGCTATGAGTTGGAATCAACTCAATGGCAATTTTTTTTTTTTTTTTTAAATGGGATAATACCAAAAGCACACTGATAATTATGCCACAAAAAGACTACAAAATGACAATGGATAAATGAAGGGTGTGATCTTACACAAGTAAACACAATTTCTTTTTTGCACAGTATCAATACTGAGCATTCATTATGTGCCAGGCAATATGCTAGTCCCTAGAGTTAGAAGAGGGGCACAGAATCAATTTAGATCCTCACAGGCCCCTGCAGTACAATGGAGAAGTCACATACTGATAATCAGTAATTCTTTACACATTAGGGGCAGCAAGAGCTCTGAGAGCATCTCGCAGGGGAGCCCCATCTCCTAGGGGCCAAGGGGGCTTCCCCAAGCAAGCGCTGGTTGAGCTGAGAGCAGGAGGCAGGAGCTAATATGGCAAAGGTGGAGGGAGGATCCGTTGTAGGCAGAGAGCAAAGGCTAGAGGTCAGAGGGCACATGGATACCTGGGAGAATAAAATGGTGGCCAGGGAATCAGAGTGTGGTAGCCAGGGAAAGAGGGTCCTGGGATGAGGCCAGCAGATGCCGCTGCTGCTACCACTGATACTCACTGTGTCACAGGTCCAGACAGCTTGCTGACCATCTCGCATTTAAGAACCCACATAACCCTCACAGTAAGCCCCTGTAAGGCAGGTACGATTATCATTCTCCCCATTCTTCAAAGGAGGAAATCTGGTCATAGAGAAATCAGGTAACGCACCCAAAGAGAGGTGATTAGTAAAAGCAGAGACAAAGTTCCATGCCAGGGGCCTGACTTTAGAGCCACCCTGACAGAGCAAACGTGCTACTGAATGGGATTTTCAGGTTAAGAATAACAGGAAGCCACTGAAGAAGGGGTTGGCACTAACCCCTCTGGCAGCAGAGTGGATGGTGGGTTGGACAGAAGGCAACTGGGAAGGAGAAACAAGCGGCAGTCCATTACAGATGGGGCCACAGGGAGAGTGGGGACATGCCAGCACTGGGAAGCAGGTGGAGAAACTTAACAGTCACAGCAACTGCCACAGCAGATGAGCTGGTCATGGAGACCCTGGGCTCCTGGCTTGTGTAGTTGGATGGGTGATGTCTTCTGTGACAGGGAATACCAGGGAGGAAGAAGATGGGGAAAGACAATGATGAACGCGTGTGACTGTGGACATTTTATCAGGCCCTTCTGGGACATTCCAGAGGATGTGGAGTTAGCAGTGAATATGTGGGTCTAGAGCTCAAAGGAAACGGCACTGGGATTTAAATTTGAAGGTACGTAGCAGACAGACAGAAATAGGCTTTGGGAAGGACTCTGAGGACCTAGGGAGAGGCTTAAAGCAGCAAGAACAGACAGGCCAGGCCTGCCTCTTGAGGAATCCTCCCATTTTAAGAGCTGGTGCTCTTTGGAATGTTTGGAGGAGAATCTACAGTCAAAGCTCTTGCAAATGCCTGAATCAGGCTTACACTGTTACACAGGGCATATGAGAAAATTAGCAAAGCGGTTTCTTCCACTTTTTAATTTTTAAAAATTTAATTTTAAAAAGTAAAATTAAAGAAGCTGGGAAACCTCAGGCGGTGACCTGTGGGGTAGTGAGGGGCGGGGAGGCAGCAAGGGGGGATGGGGTGACTACCCTAAAGCAGGCAAGTTCAGAAGTGCCTGGCAGTGAAGGAGGAAGGAGATGGAAGAGGGGAGGTAGGGTGGGAGAAAGAAAGGAAGAAAGAAATGAAAGAGAAATGATCTTCAGTGGAAACAAAACAGAGCAGATTAAGAAAGTCAGGCCAAAAAGGGAAAAAAAATTCAGGCTATCAGCATAGGATTACATGGCGGTATCCAATCAGAACAAAGAACTGGGAGAGTCAAGAGGATGGCTTGGCCAGTTCCTCCATAGAGCACCTCCCCTGGTCCCGCTGCCCCTCAAACCACAGACAAGTGAGAGTCAAATACTCCTTTCAAAGCTGCCAGAACCTTCCGTAAGACTTATCTCACCAGTTTGTAATAGCCAATTGTCAACAGTGAACACCCACAGAGGTTTGAAAGGGAGGCCTCAAAACTTAGTCTGCCTCTTCTACTGAACCAGCAGCTTTGCCAAGATGGGCTATTGACACTGAATGAACATAAATATGAATATTGACTTTTTTGCTTAGTAAGATTATAGCTCTTTGTGTTTAGTGCTTTATTCCTGAAAACATTGTTTTTGTTTTTCTTTTTTTTTCAGTCTGAAAGAAAATAAGCCTACATTCTTATAGTTAATCTCAACTATCAGGTATTCCCCAGAATGGATCAAGGACATATGACAAAATAAAAATAATGAGAAGAAGTTACTAATATCAAATCCCAAAGACAAAATAGCTAATCAATTGTGACAAGAGGTCCTAAATTTACTGAAAAGTAACAAATGAGAACTATTATTTGAAAGCCTATGCTGGCTTTCCCCAAATTAGTTTGGGTGGCCTTCCACCAGGTCTCATTGTTATGTGTCGTTGAGTCGGACCTGACTCATAACGACCCCTCCATGGGTTTCCGAGGCAGTATCACTATGGAAGTAGATTGCCCCATCCTCCTTCCGAGGAGTGGCTGGTGGGTTTGCACCACCAGCCTTCTGGTTAGCAGTCAATTGCCTTAGGCACTAGGCTACCAGAGCTCCTCCAGGTCTCATAGCATCCAAAATACTTGTCCCTATCATTGCATTTATCTCACTATAGTTTAGTTCCTCTTACCTGTCTCGCCCCCTAGTAAACCATAAGCTCCCCAAGGACAAGGATCTTGTCTTACTCCCAGCATGAGTCCAGAGCACAATGCAAGGACAGATGGGTACTCCCTGCATGCTGTTCATGGACACAGGACTGTTGCTGGAAGGAATAAAGGGTGGTTATCTACATAGCAACCCAGGAGCAGGATCTTACATCACAGATTTCTAGTGCAAGGGAAGTTCAGCCAGGCCTAGAATAAGGACTTGACTAGTAAAATGACTACGAATAAAGATGTTCTGAAAGGAGAAGAACCACATTTGCAAAGGTGGAGTGGATTTTAGGTTGAAACTGAGCCCTTGGTTTGAGAGACAGGTGCAGTGGTGAACCATGAGGTTCAGAGGAGGCAACTTCAGGCAGAAAAAGATAGTCCACTCTGCTGTGCCAAGCACAGAAAGTCAAAGAGCCCTTCAATAAGCACCCAGAGCCACAAAGCACAGCATCCTAAATGCACTGTGAGGACTTTGGGGGGGGGGGGTCCAAATTCTTTCATTGGACATTAGGATTTGGCTGTGAACAATCAGTGGTAAAAAACAAAGCAGGTCACTGAGTAGAGCACAATAATATATTCCAATTTTTTGAGATTTTCATTTATAATGGTATTATTATATTAAATTTGACCAGCAATAGTGAGGTAATGTTTCAGATCATGATTTTTATTTACATGAAAATCCTAATTCTCCAGGTGAAGGCAGGTGGAATTCCAGCTGACACCGATCTTGGCATATTTTTTACAAAGGGAGATACTACCTCTGTTCATCCTCCACTGAAGATGGAATCAAAAAATGAAGAATAGGTGTGCAATAAGAACAGAAAAGT